CGTTTATTCACGCTATCTTGCTGCCACCAGAGATGTTCACTCGACCGCGACAGGGTGCCAAGGACTCGCTTTTCATTTTACGACCATGATGCAACGCAAGCAGAGTGCGCACACCGCCTGGATTAGATCAATATGGTCTTCAAACCAATCACTTTGCGGAAATGTCAAATTGTGGACAACCAATTTACCGAACCAGTAGTCAACTTGTACTACACCTTTGGTCAACTTGTTGAGGGTCATCTTTGGTCAACTCACTGACTTAGTTTACTGATGAACTAAGTTGTTGGTGAGTTCGCCAGGGCGCGAACTTGGGCCGGGTTGGGGAGTTGACTAAAGGTGTTAGCAAGCTTAGTAATGACAACGACGAGTTGCCTTATGGTGTCAGTGAGTTAGTTGTTGATAATTTGACGTGTTAGCAAAATGATTGAGAACAGCTTGTATGTTTTTGGTTGCTCTTTCCAAAAATAAAACCTTCAAAATTGTATTTGCCTTGTTACTCTCCAGGAATGCCTCTTTATGCCGACAAGTCTAAAGTTACTGGTGGTAAAAAATTTGGGGAGGTGGTGGAGAAAGTGCTTCTTCCATTGGCACTGGATTATCATGTGAGATCACGTGATGTTGATGTCAATGCATTGGCGGCCGATCAACTGTCCAACTTGAATGGAGCCGTGGACCAGAAAAATGATGCCATAAAGGTATGGTTGGTTGGCTCTTGAACCCTTTATAGTCCAGTATCAGTATGCATATTCTCTATAGTGTTCTCTGTCCATTTTCCATGGTACTGACAATACATTAATCAAGAGCTTATTTTAGTTGCTGATCATTTTCTCTACTCTCGTGGTCTTGGTATTTTATTCCTTAGAGATACTTTGAGGAGAAGTTCGATGTTAGTTGCTCTTGGGGGTAAAATGGGTTAAGGTTCGCCCTTAACCTTGATAGGTGTGTTCAGATGAGGGTTTGTAAACATGGTTGTCAGAGTTTAAGATTCACACTTTCTCTAGATACAAGTTAAAAAAGCAAAGTAGAGTTCTTTCTCTGTGTTCTCCCAGCCTTGTCCAAACCCATGAGAAGTTGGAAGAATTTTTGAATGCTAGAAAAAATCTCAACTGTATATTGGTTTTGCGTGCGTCGATCAATTTGAGGCTTCAACAAGCCCCCCTAGGCAACCCCCCTGGCATTTGAACTTTTGAAGAATGGTTTGTTCGAATTACCCCCTCCCCTACTCCCCATGGCCAAAATTGTTCTGTGAAAGGCAAGATCAGCGACCGTGACGTTCTTGTACACCTTTTCATCTGAGTCATCTGCTCGCGAAAGTGAACTTTCTATTTTTAAACACCTCCATATTAAGTTATAAAATTTTCTTTTTTCCTGTTTAACTTCGCTCTAAAAATGTGAAGTTGCCTTTAGTAAACTTTATGCAAAATAGGCCCCATGCTTTTTCCAGAATTTTACCTGCTGCCAAGATTACGGAGGGAATATTTAAGTACTTTTCAGAGAATGCAGGATGGTTTTACTGATTTTTTTTTTTCAACCATAGAAAATAGCAGGAGGTAATCAGAACATTCAAGACATATTCACCACCGCCTTGGGTACCAATCAAGCATCTTACACGTTGGAGGAAGTGAAGGTGGCTATAGGCACTCTAAATACGAAGCGAAAGGAACGATTACTTTTCCTTTTGGAATATATTGAAGATCAAGGTGAGCCTATGAACAATAGGGTAAAGTATGGAACTCGAGTCATTGGGGCTCACAAGGTGCCAGAGCTTACCCCCCTTAGTACAAAAGACTATTGGGATCAAAGCCAGTAATTTGAGCAACTGCATACCAAACCCCCCCCCCCCCCCCCCCCTCCCTAACACAACTCATAAACGGCTAAGATTATATGAAAGTCATATATTTGAACTGCGGATAAAAACATGGATGAAAGTGATCCTCGCAGAAATGTGCACTACTTGAGCAGTGGTGAAAATAAGGCCTGAGGATCACTTTCTTTCATGTCTTTATCCGCAGTTCAAATATATGACTTGCATATATTCTTAGCCGTTTCCTCATCACTTCACAGGTTTATTTGGAACCAACATAATGACTAGCTACCAGTTGGCTTGTTAGCTGAGTTGGTATAGCGTTGTACCGGTATCGCAGAGGTCATGGTCAAATCCCGTACAGGCCTCAATTTTTTTTTTCAGGCCTTATTTTCACTACTGCTCAAGTAGTGCACATAACTGCGAGGATCACTTTCATTCAAACTAACTCAAAGTAAATTAGGGTAAATGTAGGCCAGGGGAGGGGTGGGTGACCAGTTGCTCAGATACTGACATTGATGCGATAATTCATACAATTTCATTCCTGGAGCTCATGAAATTAAGAACTGGTAAGTTTTGAGCTCGTTAAAGGAATAAAGAAGGCGTTTTTCGTCTTGTCACGAGCGTGGGACAAAGAAAAAATTCTGAGTCCCCATGAGGAATCGAACCTCAGACCTTCGAATTCCGCTCTCCGACGCGTGTCACATGAACTTCGTAATAGAGCTCGCTCACCATGGAGTCTCTGTGGCTCAGTATTTTGTTTAAGTTAAGCTTTGGTGAGAATGGGACATAACTCAGCTCTTGCATTTGTCAGGTTGGAGCGATGGTAGTAGTATTGGTTCTTTGGATCATGAGATGAACAATGTCGGTGCAGGTTTTATGAATGCAGTCTTCCTCCTGAGGAAGGAAATCACCGCCGCTGGTAAAATCGATGATTATGTGGCTACAATGAAGTGGTACAACGAGTTTGGAGAAGTTTATCAAGACCCGTTTGAATATGCTGGTACAACTGCTGATCGTATGAGAACCATTTCATTATTCAGGCAAGATGTTTTTATGTCAGTTCCTTATATGACATATGTTTTTTCTAGATATGCGTTACTTTTGTTTACTAAAACATAGCTGTGTGAAACTTGGGTAAGTTTCCAAAGAAAACTGTGGTGCTGCGTCGATGGGGTATTTCAAGATAATTTGGTTGGCAACGTGAAAAGACCACCGTAAAGAGTTTCTAAGAGCTGACGTTTCGAGCGTTAGCCCTTCGTCAGAGCCAACAGTGGCCTAGTAGTTTCAAATAGTGAGGCCCTTTCTAATTCGAATTCTGACGGGGTCATTGTGTTGTGTCTTAGTTCATCGTCGAAGGTAATCCAGGATTTCTTTCTTTTTTTTCTGCTTCACGATACTCTGTGATTGGTCGAGAAAATTCGTGCTACCACTCAACCAAACAGATACAGCTGGTCAATTGCGCCTTTCCGCGCTTCAAGAAGCTAGCTTCGATTTTAGTTCGAGTCCTTGCTGCCCCTTGTGTCCTGATCGGCCATTGTGATGACTTTGGTGTCGGTTTTATGACATCCAGTCAGCATCACGTTTCAGAAAACGGATTAGATCGATAGAGATACTTAAAGCTATGTTTCTCGGGGGCTACGCCTCAACGTCATAAAATATTCAGTCTACGTTTTTTAAGTTCGTAATCTGCAATTATTTTGAATTAACTTCATCCTGAGACATTCTTCCATCTTCTACTGTTACGAAACTTGTATTTAAACAATCCGTTTTAATCTCTCCATCCTCAACCATTCCCTTTTTTTTTTTGCCTTCTTTTTCCCTTCTTATGTTTATTGTTTTTACTATTATTGTCCACTCATTTCCCTTTAGGCCATTGCTCTGCCACTCGATATGCGTGTAGAAATTTATGAAATACCTTGCATGAGCAAACTCGTTTATCATGAAGTCAACTGTAACAAAAATATAGACGTTCAATCCTCAGCCTTATGTGCGCTGGCTCTTTCTTTTGCAGGTTGTTTACTGTCCTAATGATGCCAACTTCAACAGATGCTAAAAAGCTTGATAAAATTCGTGACATGGAAGAACTTGTCTCATGGTACGCCAACGCACTGTCCCCTAATGAAGGTTTCGCAGGAGTTTTAAAGCCTGATTACCTTGGATTCCATCACAACAGCTATTATGCCTCTGCTTACACTCCGCATGCTATCCATTGTGGTGCATTAATCGAGTTTCTACTCAGTGGAACACCATTTAAATTTAGTAAGAATGAGCTAGTTACAAGGGAAAGTAAAGTGGGGACAAAAAAAGGAGCCACTACGTACCTACCCCTCTGCAAACCCAACATTACCCCTAATTTGTTATTAGTTGACCGTTATTGGGTTAGAAGAGGAGTTGGTGTGCAGTTTCTCTGATACTAACATTGATCCAAATGGATTAAGAAACCGTTGGTTTGAGATATGCTCGAGAAGTCTGATTGTCCGGTTGTGGATAGTCCTGAAAAGGACTCCTGTCAGTAGCATTGTCGTTTATATGTTAGCCAGATACTTAGCGCTATGGCTTTGAACAACATTATAGAGGGGAAAAGGCTAGGAAGGAAGTGTGCCAGCGGATGACTTCTCTGAAGTGTGGTTTCCAAGGTAGCAAAAGACTACACAAAGATCATGGTTTAAACTACTATAAAGCTTTCTTTTGTCTCTGTTTCTCTTTGTCCATTAAATCAATGATTCTTTTTGGAGGCTCCTTTTGTCTTATGTTCTAGCCTGCAAGAGGAGACGCCTCTGTGACCATTTTGTTTCGTAAGGGAAATGTGAGGCAACAGGGATAGAGAGGCATCCTCTCGTAAGATTCCTGAGCACTCTGATCTTTCGGCTGTGTAAAAATTGTCTGACGCATTCATAAACTAGCTCTGTTGTATACTTAATATTTGGGGTATACGTTGATTTTAGAAAGGGAGTAACTGTATTTTGCAATTAGAGTTTGAGTTGTGTTTTCGTGGTTTTGGTTCAAAGGTGAGGACACAAGCAAGCATATTAAGAAAGGTCTAGAGACAATGAGGATTGTTGCTGTTAAATACTCAACTCCGAACAGTGTAGCGGGTCGATTTCCAGGATTTTACCGTGCAATTTTGGCCGAGAGTTTTCCTGCCTATGCTTACGCCGGTGCAACTGCTCCCAGTTTGAACGATGATGGAAGTCTGGGTGAAATTGCTGCTCTCGACAGTGATAAGATCAAAATGTTTTTACGACTTAATGATGCAGGCAATAAGGATGTTAGCAATTACTTGGAAGATGGTACGATATCCAAAAGTATCTATTACCTAAACTCTATTGGTTCGATCAACATCATGGAGGAAATAAGCTCTAAAGCTGCCTCGATGAGTATAACGGCCGAAAGTTCGCCCCAGGGATTCTGGACGAAAAATTATGCTTCGCTAGTGATTGCACGAAGAGAAAATTGGGCGGTAACAATGAAAGGCTTCAACAAGTATGTCTGGGACTACGAGGCTTCGAGCAATCAAAATGTTTATGGTCTTTATCAGAGTCATGGAGCACTTCTCGTTGCAAACAGCGAGGCGTCACTTAAAACTCTGGATATCGATAATGGTTGGGACTGGACACGACATCCGGGCACTACAACAATAAAAATGGATCTTGAACAGTTGGTTAGCCTGGATCGTAGGTAAGTAATGATATTCCGTTCGCTCAAATCAGTTTTTATCGTTCGGCTGGCTTCTCGAGCGGGCAGATCAAATGGAATCGCGTGTTCTGATTGGTTACCCTAGCGGGCAAGATAGGCTCGTATTCCCTGTTGGGGATTGCCCTCTTCGATCACGTGAACTGAAAAATCTCCCTGTTACCGCTTTTCCAAATTCGTAACTCTTTGGAAATTATTCGATGAGAAGAAGTTTCGTTTAAGGCTCTTTTTAACAGCAACAACAACAGCAATAACAACAAGAACAATAAATGTCATGTACTCTGTATCAAGTTTTAACAATGTATTGAATAGAAAATAATAATTAATTATTGGTATGATTTTAAGAGGGTAACAGCACCCTGGAATAACTAAGGAGCTAAAAATGACACGGAGTTGTAGATTCATCCCCC